GGTGACTTCGTGGCCCCCCTCCCTGCTTGCGCAGCTCAGCCTTGCCCTCGCCTTCCTTTCCTGGCCCAACTCCCCAGTTCCTGCCCTCCCCAAGTGTCGGAAATGGGAATGATGGTCGCCCCTCGGCTCACCTACAGAAGCGATGGTCAAGAAGGAGGTACAGCTGGTGCTGACATTTGCAGGACATTCAGTGGCATTTGCGTTGACACAGGAGTTTCCCCATGAATTACACTGCAGACATTTCAGGGATTCTGGGGACACAAGGTGTCTGGCATCGTCAACATTCAGGAGACATTTACAGAGTATACTTTGGACAAAGCATTGCAGTAACTTCAGGGTCAAAAAGCAACTCAGATGGTATCCCTCCCCTCTGGGCTCCCCCCTCAGCCAAACTTCAGGCTGTGAGATGGAGCCACCCCCGTTAAGTTTCTCCCCCCATCCGTCATTCCCCAATGGGAAGACCCAGCCTTGACCCACAGCACAGTGCGACCAGGAGTAGCGCGCACGGAGTGAGAATGTTCCGCGCTGACCACACCTTGACATGAGAAGTCACATGAGAGGGTCCCAGAGGACCAGGAAGAAAGACAAGGGGTTTTCATCCCAAGAGGGGGCCGCGTGGTTTCCCTCACCTACAGCTGCAACCGTGAGCAGTGCGGTGATACCCGCAACGAGGAAGCCCTTCATGGTGCCGGACCTGACGTCTTCCGAGGACGAGGACTGTGGCCGCAGAGCCTGAAGCCTGAAGAGACATAAAGAAGGAAGTCTGGGGGTTCCGAGGCTACTGGGGAGTGACATTCCCTAGGGTTGCAATCACACGTACACAGCTTCATCCTTGTCACAGAAAGAGTCAGCATCCTCAGCGGGGGTCACAGAGCCGCGATGCAGGGTCCACCCTGCCCGTAGACCTACAACAGTCCGGATTTCCCCAATCCTAGACACCTGCAGAAGGATCTACACAGAGACAGGAAACACAGCCGGGGGCCTTCCTACAGAGCCGCTGTGGGAAGGAAATGGGCAGGCGGACCCACTGAGGATGGGGGTCCAGGAAGAAAGCTGGCTCTCCCCTCCCAGAGCGTGATGTCCATCCTGTGGTTGGTATCTTGCCACATTCACACTTCGAGGCTCTGTCTCTGCCATCATAACTCCAACAGGCAGACATCTATTCTGTTCCTAGCACTAAGGTGCATTGATTCCTGTAATTCCTCCCTCCCAGCAGGCAGGCACTATTATGAGCATCACCCTCATTTCAAGGGGAAATCAAGCCTCAGAAAGGTTAAGTGAAGCATTCAAAGTCAGGGTCGCACTCCTAGGAGGTGTTACAGCTGGGTTTGGTCCAGGCCCCTAAGCTCCACTCCACACGGTCTCCGTGACTCCCAAAGCCCTGGGGCCTGGATACACTCAACCCGCAGGGCTGAAATTAGAGGCCCGCGCACACCGCTGACCGGCGAGCCTTCAATCTCTCTGCACCTGCAAATCGACTCATAGCTAAGATTCATTTGTATTTATCAGGATCCTGAATCAGACCTCCCAGAATGTCCACTTGCCCCTGTATCAAAGCAGTGCGGAAGGGGAACCCGGCCTCCCTCATCGTTAGCTCATTTATCCTATAAACGGTAGCCATGAGCCACAGATGGCCACTTACATTCAGATTCATTGGAGGAATGAAAAGGAAACATTCTGTTTCTCAGTCACCAGCCACGCCGCACAGGTGGCCGCCGTGTGGGCCAGTGCAGGTACAGACACACCCTTCCCTGCAGACAGCCCCGGTGTGCGGTGCGGCCGCGGAGGCTGCAGCCCAGCCCCCAGGTGGGCAGCC